CTACCTCAACCCGGCACCCGAAGCGTTTTGGAACGTCTTCACGGTCACGTACCGTGTTCCCAGACTCCCTGTGACAAAGAGATCCTCTCGGCGCTCGATTCATTCCTTGATGCAGTAGGGGATGCCTTTGCGGACCTCGTCCTCGTTGGTCGTAAATCCAAGCGACATCCAGAGCGCCCGAGTGTATGGAAAGATTGAGGAAGGGACGCAGAATAGCCGAGGAGACCAGTAGCCGTTGAAGCCTGAAACAAAGCTTATCACCCTCCCTCCCCCCCCCCCTCCCTCCCTCCCTCCCTCCCTCCCTCCCTCCCTCCCTCCAGCCCTCCCTCCCTCCCTCCCTCCCTCCCTCCCTCCCTCCCTCCCCCCACCCCTGCCCGCCCCCTTTCTCTTTTTCCTGCTCCACCTGATCGCCGTAAGGAAGCTGCAGGTACTTGCTTCGGATCCGCGCCATCTCCTTCATCCCTTCAAGTCCCGTCGGAGGGTCCAGACCTTCGCAGTCCACGTCGAAGGAGAAGGCGCCGGCTATGGTGCTTCTCTTCCGCAAAGATCTTCGAGCCTCCATGTCCCACCGGCTTCACATTGTTTCAGCCACGAGAGAAGGAGATGGTAGCAGAATGAGGGGTGAGGGGAAGAGAATGAGGGGGTGAGGGGAGAAGGTGGGAGAGAAAAATGTTGAGGAAGGGAAAGAGGAATTGTTGCGGAGAGAAGGAGGAAGGGGATGTTGCAAAACCTTGGAAGCAAACAATCTGCATGCAAGAATAGCAAGACTTCTCCTCGGGCGTTTCTCGCTCCTGCATTGAGAGCAGCTGACCGACCACATTGACTCCTGCACGCATCTGAGAAAACGCATGAGCTCGCAAAACCTCTCACTTGACCAACGAAACTGAAGACATGTTGTTGTTATTGTTATCATTGTTGTTGTCATTCTTGTTATAGTGTATCACCAACTTATCAAAAGTTTCATCATCTGCTGCTGCGACAACCTGGCAGGCAAGTCAGGATTCCTGTCATGCAGGCTGTTATGCTCACAAACTCAATGTTCGATGCATCGTCAGCAACAGCGCGGGCATGTCGGATGGCTCTAACAGCCGAGTCTACCTCCCTGTACGCCTTGCAAGCTCCTGTGAGATCTCCAGCGACAAGAGCTCTCACAATCACCGGGACGATGACGCTTATCAAGGAGTCAGCCTCAACGATGCTGCTGTCAAGGTCGGTCTTCATCTTGTCGGCGAGGTTCTTGTAACATCCAACGCTAATGAGGGTGTCAGACGACGAGAGGCATGTCAGCCTGCTGACCTTGCTAGGAAGACGTCCAAGACAAAAGGAACAAGAATAGAGAGCACATTGAGAGGGAGGAGAAGAATCGATGACAAGACCATCTGAATCCCTCCAAACCAACTCCCCTGAGCAAGCTCATGCTCAACTCACCTTTCTCCCTTCTCTCCCTTCTCTCTCTCCCTCCCTCCCTCCCTCGCTCCCTCCGTCCCTCCCTCCCTCGCTCCCTCGCTCCCTCGCTCCCTCTTTCGCATCGTCTCACCATGTTTGTTCTCTTTTTGCTGTCTTTCTTTGATTCTCCTATTAGCTCACTAGATCCTTGTTGCTGCCTCAGGCCCGCAATTTGAGGACGACAGCAACTCTGAGATATGGAGGCGGGGCGGGACGACGGAGGAGGGCGAGGAGGAGGGCGAGGAGGAGGGCGAGGAGGAGGGCGAGGAGGGCGAGGAGAAGCTGATCGTCGCAGGTACCCCCTCTCACTTCCTTCCTCGCCTTAGCGGGAAGCCTTTTGCAATGCCTTGGACAAGAGGAGAGCTCCTTGGAGAAGGAGGCTATGGCCGCGTGTACGAGTGTCTCAACGACGACGGGACGATCTGTGCGGCGAAGATTGTTCCCTTGCGCAAGGGAGAGGATGAGCGAGCTCAGGCAGCGCAGGCAGAGATAGAGCGAGAGGTGGAGGTGATGAAAAAGCTATGGCATCCCAACATCGTCCAGGTGCTCGCTGGGGTTGAAGATGCAGCCTGACGTCTGTCCTCCCCTACCAGTACCTTGGAACCGAGCGAACGGCCAAGGAGCTCACGATATTCCTCGAACTTGTAAGGAGGAGACGTGGGGAGAAGCAGGAGGAGGAAGGGGGGATGGAGGAGGGAGACGGGGAGGGGAGGGAGGGTGTGGGCGTTGCTTATCTCGTCGCAAGGTGCCTGGAGGGTCGATCACTTCCATGCTCAGCAAGTACGGGAAGTTCAAAGAGCCGATCGTACGAGGATACACCCGAGAAATACTGCAGGTGATGAGCTTTCGCGACCCCCTCACTTTGGTTTACATTGTGGTTCATACATGACCCGCTCCTCTTCACGATCTCAAGCTGTTCATCAGGGTCTGCAATACCTTCATGCGAACAAGATTCTACATCGAGACATCAAAGGACAGAACATCCTCGTTGATCATGCCGGGATATGCAAGCTGTCGGACTTCGGTTGCAGTAAAGAGCTCTACGGAGAAGTTGCATTGACGACAACTCTCAAGTATCTCTGCTCCCTTTCTTCTACTCCCTTGTCTTCCTGTTTGCTTCTGCCAAAAGATGGTTGATAGCTTTGACTCGCAGAGGAACTCCACAGTTCATGGCGCCGGAGGTTTTGAGAAATCAGGTGAGGAGACATGAGCGTTCTGCTCCTCCTCCCCCCCCCTCCTCTCCTCTTCTCCCCTTCCCCTCCTTGCCCCCCTGCCCCGCTCCCTTCTTCTGCTCTTCTGCTCTGCCCAACCTCTCCTGTTCTCTGCTCCTTTTCCTCTTCTTCTGCATTGCTTCTCATCTCCCAGCAGGGTCGCGGCTACTCTGAGAAGGCAGACGTCTGGTCCGTAGGCTGCACTGTCGTCGAGATGTGCACGGGACAACGACCTTGGTGAGGGTCAGCTGGAGGAGAACGAGGCTGAGGGGTTGTAGGCCTGAGTTCAGCACCAACGAAGCTGTCATGTTCCATGTCGCGATGCGCGACTCAGCGCGTCCTCGAACTCCGGTAAGAACAACGAGGCATGAGATTGGAACAAAGGAGAGGATAGGAGTGGAGAGCGGATGGGGATGGGGGAGGAGAGCGGAGGATAGAGAAAGGAGGTGTAGTGGACGGGTCAGCAAGGGGTTGTATGTGGAGAGGAGGTGATGATTGTGCGTAGGCTTGGGTGTCCAAAGACTGCTCAGATTTTCTCGATGCTTGCTTTGCGAGAGATCCTTCTAAGCGGCCAAGCGTCGACGAGCTGCTGAAGCATCGGCTAGTAGAAGAGGTCAGCCTTGCTTCCTCCAGGCCCGTGATGACTTGAACCTCCACTAGGCTGTGCTGGACCAGAAGCAACGGCTGGGAGGCGCAGGATCCGGTTGAATGATGTTCCTCTGCCACAACTGACTGCACCTGCTGCTCTCGTGTCTGCACTTGTTGTTTCTCCTTTCCTCCTCGCCTTCTCTTCCTCTCTCTGCTCCAACTCACTCAACTCGCTAGATCCCTCCGCCATCTCGCTCGGAGATGTCAAAACTTCGTTTCGCAGAAGGCCAGCGAAGGGTCGTGGCGATGACCAAGATGCTCAGGCAATGCAGACTGCATTGGAGCCGAGAGCAGAGATGGCGCCAGGCAGGACGGGTGGAAGGAAGGAGAGCGACAAGGAGGAGGAGAGCATGTCTGAGGACAGCAGTGAAGGTCACCACACCTCACTGCGAGCAACCGTCCTCACCATCATGCAGACGACGAGGAAGTCCACCCCGACAAGTCCTTCCCAGCTGTAACAGGGCTAGGAGAAAGCGCAAACAACGTGGGAGGAGCGAAACACTCGCTGGCTGAGCATGTGGTGAGGGACGTACAGCAGGCCCTGGGCATTATCGAGCAGGTCAGCAGCAGCGTTTTCTCGCTCCTCCTCATCCTCCTCGCAGGCCCACAGCCTCGTGCAGAGCGTCAACTCCAATCGACAAAAATGCTTCAGCCTGTCGCAGAAGATGAGAAGAGCGAAGATCCCTCTGGAGAAACTGCTCAAGCAGGTGAGAAAGAGGAGCAACGAGGACTAGAAGACGAGGAGAGCAAGAGACGTCGATGGGAAGGAGTCGTCATTCAGAAGGGTCGAGAGAAGAGCAGAGGAAGAAAGATTGAAGTCAGAGGGATGAAGAGATATGACGAGGAAGCGAATGACCGTTGGAGATGTTGACTGCAACGCAGGAGAGCACAGACAGTGACTCTCTACGTCACTCGGTGATGGACATGAGGTGACATCAGGGGAGGTCGGAGAGGAGAGGGGAAGGCTCACTGCCCTATAGGGACAGCCTTGAGAACAGCCTGGAGGTCCTTCGACGGCAGGGGAGGAGGGGCTTCAGCAGGTTGTGGTCCTGGCTGTTCACTCGCTCCACCACAGCCGAGTTCGAGGCACATGAGGCCGAGCTCGCGCATGTGATGAACAAGTTGCAGAAGGTCTCCTCCTTATCCTTCTCCCCCTTCTTCTCCTCCACCTCCCCCTCCTGTTGTTCCTGCTCTTCTTCCCTGTCAGGCGGCTCACTTACTGAGCCCTTCAGCACCTTGCACCTATCGAAGCTCTCAACAACGAGCCTCCTCTGTGGTCTCGCCGTATCCTACGCGGTGATAGGTAAGAACCAGCTTATCAACTATGGCAGAGCAGCAGGGAGGTGGCGAGGGAGGCAGAGAGGGGAGCAGGAGAGAAGAGGGAGCGAGGGACGGAGCGGGAGGATAGTAACTGGCCGAACAGGTCGGAAATGAGATGTATCTTCATGGGAACGGATCGGCGGCTGTGGTGTGGGTCAAAAGTGATGCGAATCTACGACGCGGACGCGCGTCGGCTGCTTCAGACGGTTCATCTCACTTTCGGCGTCACTAGAGCCATCCTCGAGGTCGGGGGAGATGGCAGCCAGGTAGATTTTCTTTGTTTCCTTCTCTCCTGACTCTGTCTTCTCTGCTCCCTTGTCTTGATGTGCACTTTTCTCTTTTGCCTTCCTCTCCCCTCCTCCCCTCCTCCGCAGATCTCTGCATCAAGGATGCAGAGCCTTCGTTGTGAGCAGAGGTTTGTGTGGACGGCTCACTCGGACGGGAAGATTCGCATCTGGGGAGCTGAGAACGTGGCTGTGCTGCGCGAGCTAGAGCTCGCGCCAGCCGTCAGGTCGCCGATTCTTTGCCTGGCTCAGGTGAGGAGGGGAGGAGAGAAGAGGAGGGGAAGGAGGGGAGTGCGTGTGACGACGTGTGCAGGTGGAGGACGAGGTCTGGGTGGGAACTGCGTCGGGGAGCATCTGGGTGCTCCCTCAGCGGACGGCACTGGAGAGCTCCAGCGAGAGGTCGGAGCAGAGAAGCGCCAAATCACGTCGGCATGAAGGAGCCGTGCGATGCCTGCTGCTCGTGGGGAGTGAGATGTGGAGCGGCAGCGACAGCGGAGAGATTTATATCTGGAAGACGAAGACCAGCCCGCCGGTGAGAGGAGGGAGGCGATGCCGTGGGCTGACGAGGAGCAAGGAGCATGATGCGAATGAGGTGAGGGCGCTCGAACGGGGATCAGGAGCCGTGACCTGCATGCTCCGCCTGCCCGACGGGGGAGTGCTGACAGGGCACAAGAACGGCTCCGTTCAGGTGATCGTCTGCTCCCTCTCGCTCCTACGAGGTGACGCGAGTAGGTGTGGGACATTCATGGCAGCAGACAGTCATGGGCGTCGGGAGCAGGGGCCGTCAAGTGTGCGGTCGAGGCAGGGTGAGCAAGAGGTGGCGCTTGGGGTGAGGCCTGAAAGGGGAGCAGCGGCATGGTGTGGACGGGCCACTCAGACGGTCACTTCCGCATTTGGAGTGTGGTAGCCGATAGGATCGAACTGTTCCGGTCTGTACAGGCGCACAAAACCTCGGTCCTCTGCATGGTCAAGGTATACTATGCTGACTGTCGGCGTTTCAAGCTCCTCATCGCTTCTTAGGACGCTGTCAGCGTCTGGTCCTGCACTAAGAACGGCACGTTGCGACAGGTGAGACAGCGGTGAGTCTTCCATGGATGAGCATGCTTCCAGTGGAGCATATCGCTGCTTCTCGAGGACAGGGTGCTGGAAGCTGGCGTGATCACCTCGGCGAAGAGGACAGAGAGCGTAATCGCGCACCTCTGAGCTTCCAGGCCTCACTGACGTCTGGCCGCAGGCTCTAACTGCAAGCTCCACTCCCAGCAGGAAAGACGACACTCAAGGCTATGTACGTAACCGCGACCTACTCCTGTCCGTGAGCGAAGCCATCTGCCCGGACAAGATTGCCACTCGAGACTCTAGGAAAGTGTCTTCAGCGACTGAGACACCGACCTCTCAGCAAGATCCAACCACATCCAGGTCACGATGGTCGTTTCCGTCAAAGCTTCTTCATTTCTCAAGGAATTAAAACCCTATACAACCTAACCTACATCTTCGACCGCAGCATGGCCGACAAATCTTCGATGGCAGACACTTCATGGTGTTCAACCGACACAGTCTTATCCTCCTCCATACCGGCTGTGCCCAGGAGGTTGCTCTGAAGCGTCTCGAACATCTTGGACCATTCTTGGGGGGCGTAGGAGTGATGTTGATGTCGCTGAATATATCGCATGTTGCTGTTGACCGATCGCAACCTGGTCAGCGATTCCGTCCGTTTGAAGAAATGCCCTGGCCTGACTTTCAATGAGATGCTTGACAGAGACGACGTCCTACGAATGGAGGACGACGACGAGGAGGATGTGCGCACGAAAGAGCTTTTCCACGACCCTCTGGCCTTGGGCTGTTCATGACACATCATCACGGACCTCGCTGATTTGGGTTGTTCAGAACTTTGACATCCTATTCTCCCGCACGTCGGGTCAACAAACAGCTTCTTGAGAGGGGCGTGAGCGCGCTTTGATCGGCGAAGAAACTTCTTGGGCTCGGGGAGATCAGTAGTCATCGAATACGAAATGAGAAGAGAAGGAGGAGGATTCTGTGACGGGACAGGAGAACGAGAGCACGAAGACGAGCAGGGCAGGAGGAAACCGGCAGCACGAGGTAGCCGAAGCAGCGAGCAAGAAACGTGGGCGAGTGCGAGGAGGCGACGAGATCAAGGGGCGAGGTGGAAGCGAAATCCTTAAAAGGGAAGTTGTGCAAGGCGCAAGGATCATGATCAATTTACTACTGAATTTTACCACACAAAAGTAGTCGTCACGAGGATGCTGACATGGTCTGTAAGTCTTTCATTGACCACGTGATCCATTGTCCTCGTGACCTCTTGACCCCGTGACCTCCGTATGGGCCCCGGGGTTCGTGTCTTGGCCGGCGGCTATTCACTCACAGAGGACTACCCTAGTAGGAGGGTGAATGAGGTCAGCGATTTTAGTCTTTCTCTTTCTTCTAGACGTTTTTTTGATGCCTTTTCGGATCATTATTTCTTGGGGTGAGGCGGACTTTTCCTGACAGGATCCTCGCAGGAATCCCCGCTTGCATCAGCGCTTGCAATGCAATTTCAGCTTGAGTGAAGAGAATCTGTCCATCAGGTCGTAGAGGCGAGAAACAAGTCTTTGCTCTGAGGTTGCTCTCCTCGAAGAAAGATCATCTCCCGCTCTTTGCTCGGCACAGAACTGCACAGATTGAATGTCTCTGAGTTCATATTCCCAGCAACCATGCTCGTTTGCGCCGAGTGGTCTTTTCGTTTCCTCAGCTGCTCAATCACTCGGAGCAGCAACTTGTACGAGCAGGCACGCATGCACTAAAATTCTTCACATGCAAACTAACCCGCAGCATTCTTCCATGACGAGGCGGGGTTTGCTGGTTGGGTTTGGACTCCTCGTCACATTGTTCAACACGCAAGCATTTGCTGCAGTTGACGATGCTCGGACCCAATACAGGAAAGGAATTCAAGACTTTGTAAACGGCAGAGTCAAAGAAAGCGTGGAGGCCTTTGATAGAGCAATTGAGCTTGACTCGACATATGCGGATATTCTATGGCAGAGGGGCTTGAGCTTGTACTACTGTGATCGATTTGACGAAGCTTCAAGTAAGATATTTCTGTTGTTGCGGGCTGACGGAGAACTGATATTCGTCAATACACAGAACAATTTGAAAGAGATGTACGCCTCAATCCAAGAGACACCGAGGAAGCTATCTGGAGATTCTTCTCACAGGCCAGGACAGCCGTTGGTTTCTCAGATGCTCAGAAGCAAATCTTGAGAGTGGAAGGAGAGACACGAGAGTACATGAAGTTGATCTACGGTGTTTGCAGAGGGGCCATTCCGCTCCAGGAGTTGGAAGAGAAAGCTTTGAGTGATCAAGTCGAATCGTCCTCGAACCAAGGAATCCTCCGAATTCTTCGCCCGTCACAAGTGAAGTCAACCCGTCGATCTTTAGTCTCGTCTAAAAACTTTGCGGCAGGGTGAAGATGATCGCTCCAAGTTCTACTACAACCTGTATGCTGGCTTGATTGCTGAGGCCCAGGGCCGTCCTGCAGCTGCTCAGAATTTCCTCGATAGAGCTGTGAAGAGCCCCTACAGCAAGGAAGGCGACTACATGTGGTTCGTTGCGTCGGTTCATTGCAAGTTACGAGGTTGGAACAAGTGACGAACGAGCTTTCCGATCACTTGCCAGAGAGTCTGACGGATATTACCCGATGCATACCACTCGGTAGAACTTAGTCACGGCCTTCCTGCCAACGTCACCCCGGGCCCGCAAACTCCCTGAGTAACCGTGGCACTGACGGACCGGGTGTTGTCAAGCTGAGCGCGGCCCGCTGGTCAGCCGCTCACCTGTCCATTTAGCGTGGCCGCCGGGCCGGGCCTCGGCCTGGCCGGGCAGAGGGCCGCCGCCAGTCACCCGTACTAAGTGTACCCTCATCCACCCTCAATCCAGGAAAAATCCAAGTCAGCTGATCCGTAGTCAAAAATGCGAGGGCGGTTAGCGATGGCGGTGAAGCCGATGGAGGGGGAGGGGGAGGGGGGGGAGGAGGAGGGCATGAGGGGAGGAGGCGGCAGGGCGGAGGAGGAGAAGGCGGTGGCTCCACACGGGTCCCTCCTGAGGGCAAGACGAATCCTCCAAAGCCACGTGCGCGTGCAGCCCTCACTGGAGGAGGGTCCGGTGCCCCCCAGAGCTGAAGCGATCAGTCGCGACGATGGTAATGCAGGAGAAGCGGCGGTATTCTGGGACAAATACTTCAGGAAGAAGGAGCAGATCGATGTGCATGCCCTCAAGCTCGCGCTCGAAGAAGAGCTGAAGCTTCACGACAAGGTGATCGACGTCAACGTGTTGAAGCGCGAAATGCGGCTGCCGGACGGGTTCAAGGTCCACAGAGACACGTTCGAGTTCCTCTGCCGAGATGGCATGGCGGCTGCCTTCAGAGAATCGGCTTCTCGAGCTCAACCGCGCCCTCGCCCGGGTAGGATTGGAGGTCCAGTCATAGCCAAACGAGCGCGATACATCAACCCTTACTCAAAAGCAACTAACCAACCTATCATCTTCAATGAAAACAGTGCGACATGGGAGAAGTCCAAGCATGTCGAGGCTGCCAATGAAGATAAGACAAGGACGAGTCATGCATGGGGAGTCGACTCATTGCAGAAGGAGCAGCCAGCAGCAGCAACGAGTCAGGTGGAGGAATTCAGTCCCGGCGATGAAGTGGGGGATACGCAAGAGGATGGGACGATGGACAAGAGGAACGAGAATTCGAGTCAACCCTTCACTTTCTCTCAAGGTTGATCGCGCTCCCTGGTATCAATGCTGTCGCCTGATGTGATATCAGCAGAAAACGATTTTTACTATTATCGAACTTGCGCGAAAGCGCCAGGAATTCATTTCCTAGGTAGGTGACTGCTTGTCTTGCGATTCTGTATTGAAAATTTGATCAGCAATGGCTTGCGTGGGGGTTGATGGGGTGGGACGAAACGATTCTTGCAGGTATGAAGGTAATACTGAAGGGAGAATGTTATAAAGCCATCGCAGATTGGTGTTGGTGTTGGCGTCTGCAAGCATAACGATCTTTCAAGTTCTCGTTTCGTGGTCTATCATCCGTCAATATGTGAGCTTCTTTGATCGCTCGGCTTCTTTGATCGCTCGGCTTTTGTCATTGTTCAGCGCTCTTTTTCTCTCTCAAGTTGAAGTTGTTCCTGATCGAGCTGTAGCTGCCTAGTCACTTCTCGTATCGAACTTCCCATCACTCGCTGGTGTTTTGGAGTCTCGTCCATCGATTTGACCTTCTTGCCCAGGAACTGCAATCATCCTTCTCCTCGAGTCAGAGAATCCCTTGGGGAGGAAGCGAGTCGCTCGGCTACGTCTGCTATTTCTTCGGCTTCTTGAGAATGCTTGTTGCCGTTGCAGAAGAGCTCAAGGTTGGAGTGTAACTGACCCTCCCGCATGCCTGACTGCCTGCCAAGTCCATTCTCACGGCAGAACGGACCCTCTTCCATCAGCAAAGACTGTCTCTTCGCAACAAGGCAGCCGAGTCCAGCACGTGTGTTTCTGAGTCAGGCTTGCTCAGCTGATATGTGGAAGGCAGCGAGGACAAGGACACGTACCACCTGACCAGGACGAGTCTGCGAGCAAATCTCGTCCTACTCCTCCTCTCTCTTTCCTTTCTTTTCCTGGTCTGCTGGCGTGATGTCCTGCCCCTCTGACTCTGAGCAGGTCTTCCTCTGCTGGAGGTTGTGGTGTGACTGGAGGCTCGTCCGCACTTCCTCCCTCTGCAGCTCGTCCTTCATGAGCTTCATGTTCCCCTCCGAGCTCAACATGTCCTCCAACTCCACCCTGCCTTTCGTCACCATCCCCAAGGTCCTGCCGCTGCTGCTGACTCCTCCTGATCCTACTCCTTCTCCTCCCGCTGTGATCCTGCTCCTGTGTATCTTGATCCCGCTCCTGCTCCTGCTCCTGCTCCTGCTCGTAGTCTGCAGTCAGATCCTGATTTCTCGTTAGAAAGCTACCTGGGAGGGGAATAAGTGGATTCTTTTCCTTGTTCTGCTCTGCTTCTCGCCAGCCGCCGTCTCTACTGCTACGAAACAAGTGATGAGCGAGTGAAATCATTTCACAGCTACTGCCTTGTCTCCTTCTCCTTTCATGGTTATCGCAGATGACACCAAGAGCCGGCGACAGGAACAACTACCTCCTCCTGGTCATGTTCTCCATCCAGTGCGACGCCCCTCATTCTTGTTGATCTCCAGTTGAACTTGCAGTGCTGGGTTTGCGTCCTCTTGAGGAAGTTTGTTCTCCTTCCTCTCCTCCTCGCCGTGAGTTTCTTTCCCTGCCTCCTGCTCTGCTCCTTCTGCTCCACCTCCTGCTGCTCCTTTGCTACCTGCTCCTGCTCCTGCTCCTGCTCCTGCTCCTGTTTCTTCTTCTGCTCGTCCTTCCACCATCGTTGAATGTCTTTCTGTCGACCCAGCATTTCATCTTGACTTCTCTCATGGTGTTTCCTCACCTCTCTCTCAGTTCTACATCACCATCGCTGCTCATCATCCAGGGCCCTTTGAGTCGCTTGTCGCCTCCTGCTGCATCCTCCTCCTCGACCTCGAGCCTCGTCTATCCTGCGTGAGTCCTTCCTCCTCCTCCTCCTCCTCCTCCTCCTCCTCGCCTCTCACACCTGCTCAGCTACTGCAAGGGTCTTTAGCTCGGGTGGAGCATGAGGTTTCAGCCAGAGCTGCATCAGGGACGGAGCATGTCAACGATCAGGAGGTGGAAGGGGACGGGCAGGAGGAAAAAGAGGAGGAAATTTTCTTCATGGCCTACCTCTTTGGCATGCTGGTGTTGACGATGGCAAGTGGATCAGTCCTTGCGAGGACGCGCTGACAATGCTGTCAGATTTGCGTCCTGAGTACTGACGGCCAGTTCTTGACGTGGACTGGCCAGAAAGATGGTGAGAAGAAAGAGAAGTTGAGAACCAGGGAGAGGAAGAAGGAGATACTAGGGGGAGGGGAGGGGAAGGAATGTAGGGACAGCGGGAAGGGAAAGTGTGGGTGAGGAAGGGAAGGAGCGGAGGACAGATGTCAACATGAAGCAGATGCATCACGTCCCGCGAGATTTCGACGATCAGCTGAGCGAGCGAGCGTGCTGAGCATGGGAGTATGTAGGCTGATGGAAGGCGTCAGGTGATGAAGAGCAGAGGGAGGGAGGGAGAGGGAGAGGGAGAGGGAGAGGGAGAGGGAGAGGGAGAGGGAGAGGGAGAGGGAGAGGGAGAGGGAGAGGGAGAGGGAGAGGGAGAGGGAGAGGGAGGAGCAAGAAGCAGTTGACACTGTCACCAGGAGCTTCTCAGGCTCAGACGGAGCACAAGGTTGGATTCATGGTTCGTTCCTCCTCCCCCTCCTCCTCCTCTCGTTCTGAACCTCCAGCTACAGCCAGCTTGGCTCTTCGCGACCTCTCAGCTGGCGGCGCCTTCTTCCTCCTCTTCGAGGTCGCCTCATCCTTCGCTGTTGGAGCTCTGCCGTGGCAGGATCGTCTACCCCCATCAGCTTAGAGGGAGGAGACTGCCGAGGGAGGAGGCAGCCGCTAAGAGGAGGGAGCATTGGCGTCATGGATAGGGAAGGATGGGAGATCGGACAAGGAGTAGAGGACATCAGCGATTACATTGAAAGCTCGGTTCCCCTTCCCTCTCCTCATCTCCCACAACATCCGCAGACTTGCTTCGTAACGTCGCGTCCACCTGCTCGGACTCAGCTCGTCTGCCCCTCCTCTCCCTCCCTCACCCTGGCATGTCGAAGAGTCTGGAGGAGGAGACGCTGATGCGGAACGAGCGAGCAGCAGCAGCAGCAGGTCCTCCCCTCCTCATCTGCCGCAAGCATCTCCGTGCGAGCTCGAGGTAGTCTCGCTCGTTCCTTGCTAGCCAGACTGTCGCTCCTGCTGCATGAGCCATGCTTGCTCCTGCTCGCCGCTGCTAAATGTGAGCTGGTTCAGAGCAAGTGAGAAACACTCACATGCATGCGATCCCCTGGCACGGTGACGATCGGAACCCCTGCGAGCATGGCGCTGGTCAGAACCTTTCCTCCCTCCCTCTCCTGCGCTGCTGCTGCTGCTGCTCCTCCTCCTCCTCGTCACCCCTCACCTGCCCAGAGCGTGTCCAGCCCCGTGCTGTGACCGTTGAAGAGGAGGGTGTCGAGAGCGAGGTCAGCGAGGCTCTTGATGGGGACGTGAAGGTGCAGGGGCAGCTGTGCCGGTCCAAGAGTCAGAGAGGAGGAGGAGGAGAGGAGGAGGAGGCAGGACGGATAGGAGAAGAGCGATGGCTCCTACCATAGCTGAGAAAACGAGCCTGCTGGGAGGCAGCCGGCAGGTGCTGAGGAAACGTCTTCTGATCCGCTTGGAGGCGACGGGAGGAAACTCTAGCAGCCAGAGAATCTGAGAGAGAGGATGTGAGGTAGGAGGAGGAAGAGCAGGAACAGGAGGAGCAGGAGCAGGAGCAAGAAGAAGATGGAAGAGTTGGAAGAAAGCGAGAGAGCATTACAGTATCAGCGTCCTCGCGGAGAATGTCGCACCAGAGGAGGAAGAGAGAAGGGTCGATCTTGTACATCTGACCGAAGTTTGCCAACACCATCTTCCTTTCTCCTCCTCCTCCCGTCAGACATGTCTTGTTTCCACATCGCAACATCCCATCCTCGTCAGCTACTCGGGGGAAGGGCCGAGGAAAGAGACGCTTGTGATCGTTGACGAGGTAGGAGGGACTGACAAACAACAGCTGCCATGCAGTCTGAGCTCCTTCTCTCCGCTTCCTCCTCCTTCCTAGTCTTCTTCTCTGTCCTTCTCTCACTTCACCTTCTCAGTAAAGCTCGTCGTCAGCTCAGGAGGTGTTGCGATTTTGTCTGCCAGCGTGAAGCCGGCGGAGCCTCCGGAGGTCGCGGGGTACCTGAGGGGAAGCAGCTCAGCCTTCCAGCTGCTCCTCCTCCCACTTGCCCGAGGAAGTTCACGATGACAGGAGCAGGTCGGCGGAGGAGGATGCCGCTCCTGCTGCCCTTGCTGTGCCCGTTGAGGTCTACAAGGACGTGGATCTGACACGGAGACAGTCGGGGGCGGCAGGAGCGAGGGGAGGAATCAGAGGACACCTTGAGTCGCTGCAACGCCAGAGCAGCCGACGAGTCATCCATGAGCTCAAGGTCGACCTTGAGGGCAGAGTGAGGCAGGACCGGAGGGAGGGGACCCAGCTCACCCAGAGCTCGAACCTCTCCCGCATCGTCTCCCGCCATTTCTCTTTGTTAGCTCGAGCCTCGTGCAGATCCCCTGGAGTCTTGAGATTTGCCGCAAACAGCTGCATCCTGTTGAGATCATGCCGGTCCAGCAGACCCCGGACAAGCATGCCCACCTGCAGGACGGCAGAGACTCTTCACCTTCGCCTCCCTTCCACTCCAACCTCTCACCGTGTGACTCCCAAAGTCGGAGGACATGTAGGCAACGCGAAGTCTCTTGTTCGAGCCGAGCTGGGGGAGTGAGGAGGTGAGAAACTGATCCGGCGGGATCGCGCTCCTCTCCTTCTCTACGACATGCCGCGCCAAGTGGAGCAGAAGCTGCTCACCGACAGGGTAGGGGAAGAGGCGGAAGGGCTGGTCGCAAGCTCCTCCCCACGTCCTCCTCGTCAGCACCCGGGACTGCATCCGCTGCTGGAGCATCTCCATCTCCTGCTCCAGCCCAGACCACGAGCACAGCGAGGTCTTGAGCGACATCCACGAGCAGAACGCGTCCTCCTCCCGCGGGTCCAGCAAGCTTGCTCTCCGGTATGCCTTCACCGCAATCTCCATCTCCTCTGCGTCCTCAGCCGCTCTTCCGAGTTGCATCCAGACCTGCAGCAGGGTTCACAGGCCCTGGATGGAAGAAGACGAGAGGCGACCTGAGGGTGGGAAGGGAGGAGCCTTGCAGCAGAGCGAGAGAGCTGAAGGGCCTGGAGGAGCTGACCCGCGTGCTGGTGTGCGAGAGCTAAGTTAGTCACGTAGATTCCTTCCTGGGGCTCCAGAGCGACAGCAGCTTCGAGGAGACGGAGAGGAACCGCTGCTCGTCCCCTCTCCTGCCAGAAGCCAAACTTGGCGCCGAGCTCGTTGAGGGCCCACGCCCAGTCCGGCTTCTCCGCCACTGCGGCATGCAGGACCCGCACAGCCCGGAGCACGCGACCCTGAGAGGCAAGGCAGCGATAGGGCTCGAGATAAGCCAGGTACAAGTCGCTTCCTCCCGCAAGAATCTCGTGCGCGTCGCACAGGCTTGATGGCAGATCGGAGCGCCACAGCGGGTTGAGACGAAGTGCCTGCTTTAGATGCCAGCTCTGCTGACGATGGTCAGGGTCTTGCTCATCTTTCCCGAGGATTCGATGGATTGCAGCTGAAACTTCCTCTGCTCTCTTCCACGTTCTCACCGGCGCATCCTCTAGAAGAGTATCCAAGGCGACGCGTGAGCGAGCATGCTCTGCATGAATCATTCGCATCTCACGCCAACATACTTGCACGAACCCTAGCGCTTGAAAGCGAGGGCATGACAACAAGCGCTCGAGGTGCGCGTTTGCCTCGGCCTCGCGTCCGCTGGCTCTGAGGACCTGCGCGAGTTGAATGGAGATGAGGGGAGGATGCTCGCAGCTTGAGAGAGACTGGAGGAGCTGAATACCCTGGAGGACCTCACCACGAGAGACGAGGCGAACAGCCTCTTCCCGTTTGCGACATGCAAAGCGAGGATCAGAAGAGCCTGAGGAGGAGGAGGAGGGCGAGGAGGAGGAGGGCGAGGAGGAGGAGGGCGAGGGTGAAAGATGGAGAGATGGCGGGAGGAGGACGAGCAGGAGGAGGAGAAAGCCAAGACACCTCGCCATGTTCTCTGAGACCTGGTGATTGCGGGTCAAAGTTTTAGCTCAACAACAAAAGGCATCAACTTGATTGATAGGCATCCATTTGCTGTCTTTTCGCTCTTTTCTCACTGCTATGAGTACGGTATGAGGGTTAGAACCCGACCAAACTGCGATGGCACGTGAAGTCAGGCGAGGAAGAAGGCAGGCGGGGAACGCGCAGAGTCAAGGGAGGGAGACGACGAAGCAGGACCAAGACGTGAAGCGATCCAAGAGAAAGCCGAACAGTGCGGAGAGAGTTGATGGCACATCAAGAAAGCAGCAGAGAAAATCAGGAAATTCATCCATTGCCAGAAAGTCACGCAATGCTGCGGTCATGAGTCCGTACAAACGAGGGATGAAGGAGGATGAAGATGGGGCTCGCTACGAAGGTCGTTTCAAAGATGGGATGCTGGTCAGCTTCTACTGCCAGACTTGATCTTGTCTTCTTGTTGACACAAGCACAGGAAGGGCGAGGAACCATCTATTTCCCGGACGGGGGATGGCAACAGGGTATCTGGAGGGATGGGCAGATGGAGGGAGAGGGGGAATACGTAGACGATGAGGGTTACAGGATACACGGCTGCTGGAAAGATGGATTACTGAACGGGTTTGGAGAACTTGTGGTGGCTTCGTTTTCATATCCTGTATGTGCAGACCTGGGCAAGAAGTTGCTCCTGGGGGATTTCTTGTCTACCAGGGAGAATTCAAGGTGAATCACGTTTCAGCTCATTTCAAGCTGATCCAAATACAGGACGGTGTCAGAAATGGGATGGGGACGTTGAACTTTCTGGATGGTGGACGGTTGGGATTTTGAGAGACAATTCTGTTAGTCGTGACGAACATGGTTAGGGTGTACGGCTCGTGGGTCAACGGAGAGCTTCATGGTCAGGTGATTCACACGATCACAAGAGAAGATGATGAGATTGTCCTGCAGGCTGAATACTGGTATCCAGATGGAAAATCAGGATTGAATGGAGTGGTACATTGGGAGGACAGCGTTGATGTAAAGAGCAGGTGCTGACGTTGCTGCTCAGTGGAAGCATGGAGACATGAAAGAGGCAAAGTACTTCGGAAAGACTCCAGGTGAAGATAAAGCTCGATGCTTGCTTCATGTCTCACAACATCTCTGCTAGATTCTCCTCCTCTTCACTGGCCAGAAAAGGACTGGCGGTCGCTGATCTACTGCTGCGACGAATCCACACAAGAAAGCATTTCTTCCAGTCCTCTGCTGCCCGATCCCTACGAGGCTGAGGTAGACGAGCCCTACTAGGCTCTCAAGCTCTTTGCCAGTGTTGACATGCATCAGCGATGCAGGGTTGGTACGTCAAGCCTGTGCGGTACCAAGGATGAGGGGGTGGCAGGCGGAAACGAAGGTGCTGTTGCTAATAGATTGTATCCGTCTTGAGCACAGTTCAGCGGGAGAAGGGTTGTTTCTGAGAACAAGCGCACAAGAGGGAGAGGTGCTTGCTTGCACCTTCTGAGAGCTTGCGAGAGCTGATGAGCTCCCAGCTCTTGTCATTCTACAACGGCATCCGGTACCCTCATGCTGTGGTGGACAAGTAGGGACTTCCTGTCTTGCCTCCTCTCTGACTGCGCTCTGACGGCTGCTCTGCAGGAGAGCTTGGAAAATGAATGGGAATTGTATCTCTTTGGACGAGGAGTTTGCCATCGACGTCCCTCCGGTCCCTCCCCTCCCCTCCCCTCTCGCAACTCAGCTTGACTCCAGGAGCACTCGAGCATCGACCGATACTGCGCGAGTCTGGGCCACAAGGCTAATCACAGGTGGGAGGGAAAGGAAGCTGAAAGTTTAGGGCGATCTGATTCTTTCGTCAGTTTCCAACCCAACGCCGAGTACGCGCCATGTTTTCACCCTCGCTTTGGGCACATTAAATGCATACGGGCGCTTCGGAGGTGAAAGAGGCAGTGGTGGAGCTTTCTGAGACCACTGACGCTTCTCTGCTCGCAACAAGAATGGAGGCGGGTGAAGAAGTCCTTGTGCACTACGGTCAGTTGCTCCGTCCCCTTTTCTGAGTACGCTTACCGTCTCATTGGCTTAGGATACACCAACCAGATGCCCAGGTGGTACCTCCAGATCAAACGAGCACATGAGGTCATTCGTTGAGTAATAAACCACCGTGAGGCTCATAACCTGAGTTACCAGTCAGCCAGTTGAAATTGAAGCTCAGGCAGGTGGGGAGGGTCCAGAAGGGGGTAGTTTTACTATGAAACTGAGGTAGGGGTGATAGTCATCGACAGTGGGTGGGGTCATGTGTTCAAAAGGGGTACATCCCGCTCAAAGAAGGGGTGGGAAAGATCAACAGCACCAAAGTTATTAGGATGTTTGGACGGGTGGTAGGGTTCATGCTGCTAATGGCGGGAGACTATGGGGGGTGAGTTGGTGAAAGATCTGGACAGAACAAGAGGAAGGAGATGCGAATCGAAGGTGAGAAGATATGAAGAATGAACAAGTAAGGACCAAGTGTGTGCGTGGAGAGCATATGCCAAGGTTGTCTGTTCTCAGCGTTTGAAATGTCGGCATTCTCAATCAACTCAAGTTGGTTTCAGTCCAGATGGATCTTTCGATTTGTTCTGAACGACATCATGGGGCTTTGGGAGGAGACTTGATACCGTAGCAACGCATAAAAGACACATCTGAAACCTTGAAACCTTCATCATGCCAAGGCTCAAGGGCAAGCTTCCACCCTTGCCCCCAAAAGATCAGTCGGGCACTACTATCAAGAATTACAAACTGGGAGAGATCATCGGTAAGGGTAACAACGGGAAAGTGTACAAGACCTTGAACATGGATACCGGCGATGTTGTGGCTATCAAACAAATCCCCCTTCATAACATGGCAAAAGAGGAAATCTCGAGCATGATGAAAGAAATCGAACTTCTGAACCATTTGGATCATGCCAACATTGTCAAGTACCTCGCCTCGATAAAGACCAAAGACTATTTGAATATTGTTCTAGAATATGTCGAGAATGGCTCCCTAGCGAATACGGTCAAGAAGTTTGGAAGTCTCCCGGAGAGTTTGATCGCTATCTACATTGAGCAGGTTCTGCAGGGGCTGCACTATCTGCATACTCAGGGCGTCATCCATCGAGACATCAAAGGCGCTAACATCCTGACCACCAAGGAGGGGACAGTCAAACTCGCTGACTTCGGAGTTGCGACGCGAATGGGCGACGCCACTGCTCTGCCAGGAAAAGACTACCATGATGTGGCAGGGACTCCCTACTGGATGGCCCCTGAGGTTATCGAGATGTCTCCTGCCTCGCCTGCCTCTGACATCTGGAGCGTCGGAGCCACTATCATTGAGCTGCTGACAGGTTCCCCTCCTTACTTCGATCTCGCTGCCATGCCTGCCCTGTTCCGCATAGTACAAGACCCCTGCCCTCCCCTTCCCAAGGACATGTCGCCGGCGCTTGATGATTTCTTGAAGCTTTGCTTCCGCAAAGACCCCAGCACCAGGTTGACAGCGAAGCAGTTGCTGGACCACAAGTGGATCACGCTCGTGGTCGCCCGTCGACAGTCGATCTCTGGGGAGCTTGCGCCCAACCATGCTGGGGATGTCACTCGAGGGCAGAACTGGACAGAGGTTGTAGAGCGCACTCTGGAGCTGCATGAGGCAGCACAGAGAGATAAAAAGACAAGAGGAACCCGAGCAGTAGGAACGAATGCCATCATGGCGAACAGAAAGTTGTCTTGGACGCCTGAGGGGCCGGACGGTTCAGCAGCTCACTATGCAAGTATGCGTTCAAACTTGACAGGGAGCCACATCTCAAACTCAAGTTTAACGACAAGAGGCGGTGGAGATGGATACAACCGACATGAGCAATATGGAGCACGAGCAAGTAAATTCGCACGCCGGAGGCCGAGGGCGTATAATGTCACGTTCCCACGCCCTCAGGTACTTGTCCCCCCCCCCCCTCCCCTTTCCCTCCTAGTCTTGTTCTGACTTCACATAGGACAACCTTTCCTCGTCGGCTCTCGAGGCATTGGTAGAAGGCAGAAACAAGTACCGCAGGGCTGTCGGGCTGCCTCCTGTAGCTCAGGAAGGCGACTCTCAGGGGATGGCAGAGGAAGATTGCAATGTTCCAGAAGCTCAAGAGCACTCCTCTACTGCTGTTCCAGCTAATGAAGGGGCAACGAGAGCGAGTGAGAACGGAACACCAGCACAATTGCATGAATCGCGAGGTATCGAGCTCAGTAGCGAGACACTTGGAGGCACCTCACGCAGCGGAGCTCGCGGGAATCCCCCACAAGGGGAAACGAAAGTCACGAAGAAGCCGAACATGGACAAGAGCATCCAGCAGTGGTTTGAGGTTGTTTGCGATGATTCTTGTGTCTTGCAAGATGACATTTGTGCTGTTGTCCCACACAGGATGACGAGGAAGCCTTAGACTGGGGCAAAGACCTTGTCGGACCTCCCACGTCGTCCTCAGTGGTACTGGCCACACTTGGAGGAGATTAATGCATTTCTTGACTTGCAGTTGTCAGGATCCCGATTCTGTGTTGCTTCAGTTACAGCTGAGACATGTCACCAACACTGGGGACATCGACATCGAGACGGAAGCGGATTGGGGAGATGACGATGCCCAAAGTTTTGACGCTGGCAAGGGACTGGAGCGAGCAGAGAAAGAGATCGCCGCTCCCGCAATGTCAGACAATATCATGAATGTACAGCACAGCAAAATTACCGGCTCATCTCTGCATCATTATTCGGAAACAGGTGATGAGACTGACAACCTCGATCTCAGCGATCTCGAGCTTCCTTCCTCCCTAACAGCCAAATCGAAAATTCCGAGACCACAAGTCATCCGACCGGAAGATTTGGAGAAAATCCACAACTACAACGCGATGGGGAGTTTGTCAGGTACGCGGCACTGGCATGAATTTCTTTCTGACTGACATGATACCACCCGCAGCTTCCTCAAGCTGGCAAAGTCGGATGGGCAAGTACATGGAGAACCAAACGGACAACGAACTCTTGGACCTGGACATGGAAGACAGCAATGAAGACCTCGTGCACGTTGAGGGTTTTCAGTCTGTCCTGCAGCGCCGTCTGTATGTGAATCAGAGGCTGCAGAAGACTGAAAGCGTTGACGAGGAAGATGAGGAGGATCCGTTCTCGGACATCGAATGGATCAACGACGAAGAGGCCAGTCAGCCTGATTTGTTTCAAGGCAGACGGTTTGAACTGGTTGAGGCAGAGATGCTGCAACTATGCAACCAGCTATCACCAGAGGGAGGAGAGGTCGAGCAGTGCGAGATCTGTCAATCTCTTGAGCAACTTCTACGATACCATGGCGAGATCAAGCATAGTTTGATCATTCATCATCAGGTGTTGCCGCTGTTGGAAATGCTCGACAGCCCCTCGTCCCTTGTTGTTTGCCGCATTTTACGTGTGATCCACGAAGCGATCACGGAGAGGGAAAGAAGAAATGCTGCTGGGGATTACACCGGAGTCATCGGTATCATCAGCCCCGTGGTGGACAACATGCTCACCGTGGGTCTGGCGCATCGACTTCTTGCCTTGTGTTCGTTGAATCTCAGCAACGACTCCGCAGCACAGATCGTACAGCAAGCAGCTCTCGTCCTCAACAGCCTCTGCTGGGGAGCCGAGCCACGTCACGTCCAGATGATAGTGGCCTGTCAAGGGATTCCTGTACTTGTTGGTCTTCTTGCTGCAGAGCCTCCGCTCAACCACGTCGCCCTCGATTGCATCTGGAAGGTCATCAATCTTCCTCCTCCTACTCCCAAGACAGACTTCTGCCGGCTCCTCGCACGGGTCGAGGCTGCTGCTCGCCTTGTCGCTCTCCTTCGACGGCCATTCATCGAGCACAGGAACAGGAACCAGCAGACTCAGAACGAGGCCAACGGCTGGGTGGACCTCTCGGAGCTACACGCTGAGAGGATCGCGAGCATTGTTGTCTTATTCTCTCAGGCGGACAAAGTCGTGAAGGCAGACATGGCGAAGATGAAGGTGCTGGAGGTGCTGCTGCCAATCCTCGAGGCTGGGGCGGAGGGATTGTCTCGGGTCCTGGAGGGGGCCTACCTCAAGGTGACTGTTGTCTCCTCCCGTCTGTCTCCTGATCTTCTTGGTCGCCAGCTCCTGAAAGCGCTACGGCATCTCTCTGGCGACACCAACTCGCTGGTGCCCTTGCAGCAGGCCGGATGCGTCACGGTCCTGGTCAAACTTCTCTCGAGAAGTGCGACGAAGATGGGATCCAAACAGACGAGGATCAGCTCTGAAGTGCAGAGCCAAGTCAGCTGAGCACCTCTTGCTCTTACATCACGTTTGATCGGATGGCAGGTCATGTTCGCACTCTACAACCTCTGCAAGTTGTCCAAGGTTCGGCAGGAGCAGGTTCCCTCACAATCTTTCTGTGTCGCACATTTTCATGCTGGTCCTTCAGGCAGCAGCTGCCGGCGTAATCGTCCACCTTCAGGTGCCTCCTGAGCTTCTGCAGTGCGATGAATGATGCCGGTGCTGCAGCGGTTGATCAAGTCCAACAGCCCTCTGCGGCAGCTCGCCATCCCCTTGCTATGCGATCTCGCGCATGCAGGAAAGATCGATCGAGGGCTCGTGTGGCCGAATGACGGTGTTGCAGGGGACGAGGCTCGCCGGCACCTGTGGCTGAACAACGGGCTCTCCTTCTACCTGGAGATCCTGCAGGTCAGTAGCCCGCAGGCTCTTTTATCGTCATCACGTGGGTGGCAGATGAAGTATTGGCATCACGTCGCTCTCAACTGCGTCGCCGTGTGGCTGTCGTCGTCCAAGGACGCGAACTCGTTGGAAGATGTGAGGCTGCTTCAGGGAAGCTCTTCCTCATCTCATCTCAGGTGCTGCTGCAACCTCAAGCCATGCAAGTCCTCGTCAAGAGCGTCGCTGACTGCGACGTCGGCTCTGCGAGCAACCTCTTCCCTCCCCTCTTGAGGATTCTGCAGTACAAGCGGCTGAATCGAAAGCTCGGAGTGATGCTCTCGCTCCCTCCGCTGATGGGCACTGACAGCAAGCAGGAATCGGACATGGTTGACGAGCTTCTCAAGAGGTTGGACCATCCGGAGGCTGTAGTCCGCAAAGTAGTACTGCAGATCATCCAGGTGGAGGCTCGTGTGTGTGTGTGTGTGTTGGTTTTGACGTCTGTCAAGGTCATGTATGAGAAGTCTGAAGACCCCCGAGTCTTCATCACCAAGCATGACCTGTAAGCCCTCTCATCCCCTCTCCCTCCCTTCCCACATCCTCTGCTGACCCTCTTGCAGTATCAACCTCCTCGAGAAGCTTGTCGAGCAGGATCAGTCAAAGGTTGTGTCTGGTCAAGCAAAAGTGCTGCTGAAGGCGATGATGGTGAACAATGTAATCTGAAGTCTACGATTCATGTTTCTTGCTCGATGTTATGTTGTCAAATATCTTGTACTTGATATCAGTGTCTTGCCGTTGCTTTGATAGCAGTGTCTCCGGTATGTGAGATCGACGCTTCTGATATCAAATGTTCTCTATGTGTACATACAACCAAGGCAAACCGAAACTCGTCTCTTCTCTTCTCTTTCACTTCACACAGAGCCTGCCTCAGAGCCTTCAACTACCTCAAAGAGGGAAAAGATATTGCTGCCCCCAAGATTTTATTCAAAGGGTAGCATTCAGATTAAAGAGAAAATCGCTGTCTTTTTCTGCCTGTGCTCCCCGGGGAATGCACGTGTAGTTGCCAGTATCAACCCATCCCCTCCTCCTCTTACTGTCCTCCTCCTCCTCCTCCTCCTCCTCCTCCTCGACCTGACGCCTGTCCCCTGTATCTTGACTCCTTCTGTCCGTACTGCGATGCCTCGGGACAAGTCGAGCGCCGGAATCTCCGCGGTTCTTCGAGCCGTGCAGAGCATAGACGAGATCATGGAGGGAGTCCCGCGGGACATGTGGAGCGAGTTCGAGGAGGGAGTGCGCAAGCTGATGGCAGACAAGCAGAGATCGTTCGAGGTTCCTCCCTCCCTCCCTCCCTCCCTCCTCGCTGATCACTTCATCCTAAGGCTCATGCAGGAGGAAGGCGAGGACGATGGGGGCGAGGATGTGCGAGGCGGGAAGAAGCAGAGGCTGGTGCGCGGCCGAGGAGGCTGGTGGTTGGATGTCATGACACTGAAGTGCAGGCGCAAGTTGTGAACCCTTACGAGAAGATGCAGGAGATCAAGTTCTTTCTTCGAAGTCGCGTGCCCATGGAGGCAGTCCTTCCTTCCGAGAACATCTTGTATGAGCACAAGGGGACAGAAGTGAGCTCTCGCTTCCTGGTGGTTCTGACCTTGCTCATTTTGCCTTACAGTTCGAGTCGTACAACACCGTCAACACGCTGTCGGTCGACGATTTCTTGTATGAGATGCACGAGGTCGACGAGCTTTGCGACGAGGGCAAGCTCCCGAGGCACTACTGCAAAGGTCGGTGAGAGGATGGGGGAGGATGGGGGAGGATGGGGGAGGATGGGGGGGAGGATGGGGGAGGGTCGGCAGGCTCACTTGGATGGGGTGCAGACTGTGGGAGCAGGAGTGTGGAAAAGCTCAACTTCATCACCCACTCTCTGTCGATCCGCGAACTAGAGTTCGTCTTCAACTCGGTCCTCCTCGTCTCGCTCGATCCCTTCCTCTGACTTCCGCAGGTCCTCCCGACCCGCTGCAAGCTCAAAGACGCGACAGTGCTCGACGTGGGCTCGAGGCTGGGAGCGGTCCTCTTCGGCGCGTGTCTGTTCGGGGATGTGAAGGAGGCGGTGGGTGGGCCCGCACTCTCGTCGAGGTTCTGAGCTGCTGGCAGATCGGGATAGAGGTGAACAAAGAGTTTTGCGAGCTGCAGGAGGAGACGCTCAAGGCGTTCAAGATGAGCGGGAGGGCTCGAGTGATCTGTGATGACATCAGAAACTCGTCGGAGCTGCTGCGGCTGTCGCAGGTTGTGGTGTTGCACAACCCCTTCCAGTTCTTCTCGTCAAAACCATCGGCGCTCGAGGCCTTGCGGTCCATCTTCTCCAGCTTGTCCAAGGGCTGCCTCGTCGTCGCCTGCCCCTCCCTCGATGAACAGCTCTCCAACTGTGACGGGGCTGCGTCGGAAATGTCCAAGTACGGCATTGAGGAGCAGAAGCTGCAGTACCCCGAAGCGGAGGAGGAGGACGACGAGCACGCGGACGATGATGGGCTTCTGTTCTCCAACATCCGGCTGTACAAAGTGAGCTGAGAAGCTTCTCCCTCCTTCCTCTCTGGTTGATAGCAAGTTAAACACGTTCAAGAGTGAAGAGCCGCAAAGAAGATTGAAGATGTGGAAGACGAGGGAATGAGGGGGGAAGTGAATTGGAGCCACGGCGAGGGAGGACGAGGAGGTGGAGGACGAGGAGGCGAGGAGGGAAGGGGGGGGGGGAGAAAGGAGTGGGGAGGGGAGGGAGACAGTCGCTGTCTACTGATCTGTCCGGATTTTCAAGCCCAGGCTGATCTGAGTCACCCGTTCCTTTGCAGTTCGAGTCCTTTGCATTGGTTCCTTTGCTGATAGTTGGTGCCTGCGCGGGGAGGCGGGCGGGAGGGGGGGTAGGCGACGTGATGGGGTGCATCAAACGCTGCTGAGGAAGAGGAGGGGGAGGAGAAAGAAGGGAGGAGGGAACGAGGAGCAGGAAGAGGAGGAAGGAGGGAGCTAGGAGGACGAGGAATGAGGGGACAAGGAAGAGGAGGAGGAGGAGGAGGAGGATATAGGCAGTGATTGTCTCATAGGGTTTGGGATGGTCGGAACGAGAACGAGCGAGTAGGCCAGGGATGGGAACGATTCATGCCTGCTGGCTGCTGCTGCTGCTGCTGCTGCTCCACCTCTCCGAGGGTCTTCCTCCTAGTCAGACCCCGGACGAGTTCGCCATGCTGAACTGCACTGAAGTGAACGAACTGTGGAAAGGCTTGTGCCTGGAAGGGAGGTGCAGGCCCAGGAGCGATGGCGGCTGCACCAAGTTCGGGGCGGCAGGAATTTGCTCAACCATAGCTGGATGCCTGCAAGGAGACGTCGAGAGCAAGCTGTCAGTCGTGTCCAGCACGACCCCACCAAACATCTTCGAAGAGGCTGAGGTTCTGTTTCAGCCTCTGCCAATGGACCAGAGGTACCTCAACGTGATCCAACCCGACAACGGACATGTCCTCCCTGCCGCCTCCAGCCTCCATGTCAAGTGAGTCCTGCCTTACTTCACCCCTCTCTTGCTCCTCCCCTCACATGCTCCTCCTTTCCCTTACTTTTCCCTCCCTCATTTGTTCTCTCAGGGTGCATGCGGAGGTCGTCTTGTCGTACGGTGAGCTGTCGAGCATGTACAACGTTGAGGGTGGGGAGGGGATCAGCCTGTATGAAGGCGACGAGATCAGCGTCTCGTCGCTGGGGCTCGGAGGGTACATGATGATCTATCTGGATGGGAGGGAGCATCAGACTATGTTGAACGGCAGCAGCTTCCACACTGTCCGCCTGCTGGAGGACGTCGCCTTCACCGACGAGCGTCAGAGACAGTCGCTGATCGTCCTCGTCCAGTTCGAGCTCGAGAGCCTCGTCGGAGGGATCCATTCCGTCGAGATCCAACTGGGTAGTAATGGCCCGGATCGCATTTCCTATCCCCCTTGCCAGTTCTGGTTCTTGGTGGAGACGCAGGAGGTCCGAGGGGAGAGGGAGAGCTGGTGGCTGACTCAGTCCGGGTTGCTCATGTCGAGGATACAGGAGCTTGAAGAGCAGGTTCTTTTCCTTCGCTCACAGCTGGAATCTCATGACGTCAAGCACAAGCGGATCCAAGAGAGGAAGAGCCGGGCCCCCAAGCATCTTGTCTTCGAGCTCGGAGCCAATGACGGCGCGTGGATCAGAGACTTCTGCGAGAAGAACCCAGGCTTCCAGCCGCACATCTTCGAGCCTCAGCCGAGGTTCGCGCAGCCTCTGAGCGACATCGCTCGCAAGTTCAACGGTCACTTCCATCAGAAGGCTGTCTGGAAGCACGACGGCGAGAAGATTCGCTTCCACGCGCACAGCGACGAGGGAGGCATCGGGTCCTCCATCATGAACGACCATGCCTACCACCAGTGCGGCTCCAAGGTGCCTCCGTCCGCTCTGCTGCTCCCTCACCTCACCAGCAGCTGTCAGGTGTGCGAGCAAGACTTCTCGCAGGAGTACGATGTGGAGACAGTAGACATCGTGAGGTACATCAAGGAGGTCGCCCTGCCCCAAGACGTCATCTTCTTGAGGATGGACATCGAGGCAAGGGCGTTCGTTTCCTTTCTCTCTATTTACATCACCGGCTGCAACAGGGAGCGGAGTATGAGGTGATCCGCAAGATGATCACGTCGGGAGTCGCGTGCTGGCTCGACTACCTCGAGTTCGAAGGCCATGCCATGTACTCGCCTCAGACCTACAAGTATCGAGCCGTTGACGCCGTCGTCCCCTGGCTTTTGCACTCTTGCGGTGTACAGACGGTGACGCGCAAGAGCCGAGTCTTGCATATCTTGACGCTCTGCGTGTTTGCAGCTTGTGCAAGATTGGTACACGGAAGACTGGAAGGTCTGGCGATCCTGGAACTTGAGCTCCAGATGCGTCGACTGCGCTATTCCTGTCATCACAGACTGAAGCTTGTCATCGCATGCCTTGACGCTTGTCATCGCATGTCTTGCCGGCAGGCTTCAGCTGCTGCTCGTTGCTTGGCGGCGTGGGAGGTGACGAGCTGGGCCGACACTGACCCCCAGGGCCTTCTCGAGCTCTGCGACTGCATCGAACGCACATTGACAGTCTCCATCCCGACGGAGATGCGACGGAGGTCAGACTGAAGGGCCAACTGACTGGACCGCAGCTGCTCAATCAAGTCGTTCACCAGCTGGGCATCCCTGGGTGAAGCCCCGTCCTCGGCCCCGTCGCTGCCAGGGTAAGGCTGTTGGGGATGCAGAAGACGCTCCTCCAGCCGCTCTTGAAGGCGATCGGGCTCTTTCTCTCTCGAGAAGGAGTAGGAGAGGTCCGAGATGATCGTTCCCTCCTCGTTGAAACTCACACTAGTCTCTCCCTGAGCATACTTCAGAATAGATTCCACCGCTCACTCCTCACCTCGTCATTGTTTCCTCCCCCAGCTTCTTGTCCGTTGACCTTGCTGCTGCCCTGGCTGTCTGGGCCCTCCAGGTTCACATCAGCCTTCACGTTCCCATCGCCCCTTGAGGGGTTCAAGTCATGCGCGAGTCTCAGTGACTGGAACTGCTCCTTGTAATACTTCAGCTCAGCGTCCAGCTGTCGGTTCTCCTCCCTCAAACTCTCCATCTCTTTCTGCTTGTTTGTCGCATCGTCATCTGAGGTACTCGCCTGGCACGCGCGACTTTCAGCATGCAAGTTCGTTCCCCGTTGTAAGGCGGAGAGCAGAGCGTCTACTCGCTTCTCGAGCGTGACGGGCTTAGAGTCATCACCAACGAGGCATTCTGAGCATGAAACCAGTCGCTGCATCATCCTGCATCTGCTCGCTCGGTTTGCATACTCCCGCCATGCCGAGAAACGCTTCAGCATGCTTCTGCTCACGCAGCTCAGCGTCAGGGTGTGGGGTAGGAGGCATGCCAGTACCTCTGCCTCCTCCTGATGCTCAAAACTCGCGAGCGCTGGCTCGTCAAGAGCGTGAGGTTCCAACCGTAGAAGCATGTCCTCAGCAATGTCAAGCCAAGGCTTCTCGTCAAGTTGCTTCGGATGCAGGCGAGTCGGTTCGAATCTTTGAATCGGTCAAGCACGAAGGACAGGAAGTTGACCTTGACTGACAGTCAGCGAGCGAGGACGAGGCTGAGCGCACCTTGGCGGACGAGCAGAAGCCCCTAGCGGGAGACAGGCACTGAAGCCCCTGCTGCATGATCGTCTCCGCAAACTCCTGGCCGTGATCCTCGATGACTTTGCCGAAAGCGTAGGAGGGGATGGATCCGATCAAGCTTCCTCGTCTGCCTGCTACCCAGGTGACGTCCAGCTCCCTCCCGAGCAGCGCAGACATCAAGCCTAAGCGCATGAGCAAGTCTGAGAGGGAGGGAAGGCACAAGTCAACAACACCTGTCGCAGCTCCGGATGAAAACATCCTCTGACTCAAGTTCGACTCAGAACATTCAAGCACCTCGCCGCTCAGCACGAGGAACAGCTGCTTCGCTCGCGTCCCCTTCTTGCAGATGATGTTTCTCGGCGCGAACTGACGGACGGAAGAAGAAGCCGCCACCTGCTTGCATGTCAACCCTGCTGTTGCTCCAGCTGTCGCTCCTGCAATCAGATCACCTGACGAAGCTCCTTCCTCGTGAGATTCCTGCAAACTCGCGAGTGAGGTGAGAAATGGCGAGAGGACAGCACTGGCTTGGTTCACCTGAACAGAGACATGGCTGAAAGATGCTGTTCTAAGAGGGCTTGACGGCTCTCTGACGGCAGCATATCACGAGCTCGATGAAGGGAGGACAGGCAAGCAAGTAAGCGGAGTGACTTCAAGCATCTATCGCTTCCATGCTATTAACGTGCCTCGCGATCTTTCAAGGGCAGTCGGAGAAGACGAGCAGGTCCGAAGTCGTCGAAGGGGCAGAGATGAAGGAAGAAGCAAAGGACTGGGATAAGACGAGAAGACACAGCAGACAAGTGATAGCATCACAGGGAGGAGGAGATGAGTGGAGAAGCGCAGGGAGAGCAGCGGAACGAGGAGGAGGAGGAGGAGGAGGAGGAGGAGGAGGCGGTAGAAGCATTCGGAAGGCGATGCCCTGGAACCCACTCGTTTGTTTCTACTGGGACAAAGATTGAACTTAAAAGTGAGAACATTTAACCTAAAGGTGAACAATTTAGATCACTTTTAGGTTAAACACTGCAGTACACATTTAAGTTTAAAGCTTCAGAATTAGGCTAAATGTTGCCTGTTGTAGGTCCAGCGCCGCTTCCTCTTCGTCATGGATTTCCAACAGCGCGCCTACTATGAGGCCATGCGGCGATCGCGCGAGTGAGTCAAAGTCACGTCTTCCTGTGCTAGGCTATGCTGTCCTCCTCTCCTCTCCCCCTCCTCTCCCCTTCTCTCCCATCTCCCATCTCCCTCCCATCTCCTCTCCTCTCCTCTCCTCTCCCTTCATGCCCAGACTAGCATAAATTTTGCTGACGCTGTTTCAGTGTTATGCAACAGCATCGACAGTCAGGAGCGTCGCCATTTTCGAGCTCAAGCTCAAACCAGTCAGCGAGTTGAGGAGCGTGAGGAGGCTTGACGACGTTGTAGGTTCAATCCCTCGCAAGGGTCAGGCAGCAGAGACAGCCGCGGGTCTCGCGGGTCCTCGGAGGGGCTGCGAACATCAGGGAACAGCGGTGAGAGCATCGATGAAGAGAGGCAGGAGGGAGGGAGCTGACGATCGTCTCAGAGCTCGCAGGGGTAGGCATCTTCTTCCAACAAGAGCCGCACACCGGGAAGGCAAATTCCTTTCCCTCTCTCCCTCCTCCGCTCACACCTCGCAGGTGTACGTAGCCAACATAGTCCCCGGAGGATCCGCAGACAGATCGGGTGTGATTCGGGTCAACGATGTGATCGTGAAGGTTGGGGCAGGGGAAGTGCCGCCGTCTCCCTCAGCTGCTCATGGCAGGTCGATGACGAGGACGTGCAAGGGCAGCCGCTCTCTACGCTGCGGAACTTGATCCTCGGGAAGCAGGTGAGGGAGGGAGGGAGGGAGGGGAGGACCGTCTCTGAGGTCTCGGCAGGGCTCCTATGTTGTTCTCGCCTTCCGGCGCATGACCGGCAACGAGCTGTGAAGGAGATAAGAGGCTGATGGCGACGCTGACTGCAGCGCAGATACTACTTCGACGCTGAGCTGCTGCGAGGGACGCCTGAGTACTTTGAAAGCCTGAAGAAGAGTCAGGTGGTGCAGGACGAGAAGGAGAAGCTGATCAATCAGGCAGCTGTTCTCCTCCGCTGTCGGCCTTCTCCTGACCCTTCCGGCGCTGCAGGTCAGGCAGCAGGAGGCAGAGATTCATCAGCTGAAGCAGGCCAACAACGTCATCCGGTCCTCCGGTCAAGGCAGCGCCGTCCAGAGCGTGAACCTGCTAGAAAAGTTGAAGCACGAGCTTCTTAGCAAGTCTGAGGTGCCGTCCCCCGTGCTCGCCTCGGGCCTGACGCGGGTCATGCAGGAGGCGACGCGACTGGAGGAGCAGCTCAAGTCTCAGCTGGGGGATCAGCCGCACCTGGAGCTGGACTCCGACATCGCCGAGCTCAAGAAGCAGATCCATACGGCTGAGGTGCCCCGGGGCGAGCGGGAGGTTTGCGGGAGTGAAGGACGAGCAGGTTGAGATGAAGAGCGTGGAGGAGAAGATCGAACAGGAGCAAGCCTCGTGGAAGCACGAGAAGAGCCGCATGGAGAAGCAGGTACTGTCGGCCCCTCCTGATGTCTTTGACGCCCCTGTAGCTCGCAGAGCTGAAGAGGAGCAGAGAAAATCTGGTGGGCAGCAAGCAGAAGTAGGTGAGACGGTGACCCTCCTGCCTCTGACGTCACCCGCAAGAGAGAAGCTCGCCAACGAAGAGCAGAAGCACGAGTTCGAAGAGGATAAAGCCAAGGCACGTGCAGGATACGAGCTTGTGAAGAAAATCATCGCAGGTGAGACGGGAGGGAGAAGTTGGTGATGTCGATGTTAGTTCGATGATGATGATGATGAAGTCGATGATGATGATGATGATGTAGACGATGAGTGACCAGCACTGTGATGACATCTTTGCAGGGATCGAGAGTGCTCTCCAAGAGAACCAAGAGAACGAGCGATCATTGTACAACACATTGACGGTGAAACAGTTTTAGCTACATCAAGTTTTCGCATGTGAATCTCTCGCAGGCGTTGGATAATCTTCATGCCTTCAACAGCAGCAGGACAACGTGAAACTGCAGGAGCGTCAGACGCGAGGCCAAACGAGTCGGGCAGACCTCTCGATGCATCTACTTCTTCTTCTTCCTGTCTTTCTCCTTCTTCTTCTGCAGCTCTCGCTTCGAATCAACAGCCTGTAGACTCGTCATCGCCTCCCTCTCTTCCCCCATCTCCGCGTTACCTCCATCTCGGCCAACACCTTCGCAAGCTCCTGCAAGCAGCCGTTGGCATTGCAAGACCAAGGGAAGGAAACATACCTCATCCTCGTCTTCCTTCTTCTTCTTCTTCTTCCCGTCATCTACTGCCGCGCTTTCTCCCGCTGCGCTTGCTGGCTTCACTGGAACCTCCTCCTCTTCCTCTTCATCCTCCTCGTCATCCTCCTCGTCGCCTAGGAGAGTTCCAAACAGGCCTCCCGTTACACCCTTGGCCTGAATTGAAGAAGTCATTCCTCTCCCTCGCACAACCTCCTCCTCTCACCTGTGCGCCCTTCTTGGCGTCAACCAGTTTGGACAGGTCGACATTTTTCTCCACTGTCTCGTCTCTTCCCTCAGGACCCTGCCACCAGTTTCAATCTCCTCCTCCTCCTCCTCCTCCTCCTCCTTACCGAGGGGCCCCACATGATTCCGCCCTCAAGGTTCTCTTGGATGCTTCCTTTGATCTTGTCATCAAGTTTGTCCGTTACTGCCTTGTACCTGCTCGCTCATCACCTCTCGTCCCTCTCCTCTTCCTCCTCTCCCGCTCCCTTATTCCACTCCTCCTCTCACATGCTCCAAAACGTCTGCCAGTCGACTCCATCCTTGCGGAGCTGTTCTGAAAGCGCAGAGATGCCCTTGGCACGGAACTGAAGGTGATGGAAGCGATGGCAGAACTCTCCGTCATATGCCTCTGCCGCATCTACGACACTGTTACAGGGAGGAGAAGAGAAGAGAGGAGGAAGACTCACTGATCGCAGGTACAGGATGCAACAAGATCTCGTCGAGAAGGTTCGCACTAAGGAAGGTGGTTTGGAGATGGGCGAGTCTGTGAGCAAACTAGAGAAAAAGTGAGAGAAGAAGGAAGAGAAGACAAGAGATGTGATGAGACGAGGATGGCAGGGAAGAGAAGAGATGACGAGGAACGAGTCGAGAAGAGTTGGACCTTGATACTGAACCATCCAGGTCTCGCCTCCTTGCTCGGGCGAATGTTCTGTGCTCAAAGGTCAAACACCATCGAGGGCCGAAGGAACGAAAGGGACGGGAGAGGGCGAGAGATGGGATGAAGCAGGAGGGCTGAGCAGGAGGAGTGATGAGCATCTCCAACCTTGTCCTCGTCTCGCTGCAGCATGGTGGCAAGAACGGCAGCGACTTCCACAGAGGTGATGGGAGCCTGTGTCTTGATCCAGTAGCGGACGCAGGCAGCGGCAAGGACAAGGTTGTCGGGGACGTTGGCCGGGGCCTCGCCGAGCACATCGAACAGAACCTTCCTCCTCTTGGCCGCATCAGCTCCTTTCAAGACCTCGGAGAAGGGCAGGGGGCTAGAGGAGGCGACCTCCACCTCCTCCTCCCCAAACTTGTGACCCTCCACTCGGACCCGCTCGCTGACAGTCTTCCTCGATCCCTCCAGCAGCATCGCGTACATGGCCGAGCGGATGGGACGTGAGGAGGACCACGCTGACTCAGCATCCACGTCCTCCACCAGCCCGCCACACCAGAAGGAGCTGCAAGAACGTCAGTCTCTGCACCGTTGATGATGATGATGACGACGACGACAACCACGAGGAGGAGGAGGAGGGAGGGAGGAAGGAGGCAGGGAGACGAAAGTCGCTCACCCTCTGGTCAGCACGTTGATCGTCTTCGCGTCAAAGTTTCCTTCCCGAAATTTCTGCACAACCGCGGGCGACATGCCGCACTTGGCTCCTGTCGTCAACTTGGTCTCCGGCCCTGCCAGCCTCGCATCATCCACCTTCAATCCTCTCATCTCCTCCACATCTCTTCTCATCCTCCTCCAACGTCTCGATACAACTGTTCCTCCCCTCCCCTCCCAGAGAGCTTCACCTATCGCCTTCACGAGCGCAGGATCGAGTTTGTACTGCTCAATGGAAGTCTTGATCGCCTCCTCCAACGCTTCCTTGGTGAAGACTTGCGCCTTGTCTCCCTCCTCCTACCTCACTCTCAGTCTCTCCTCCCTCCTCTGCTATACCTTCACCTCGTCTCCCGTTGTCTTCACTTCCTCCCCGTTGGCTACGTCCTGCTCGTGCTGCTTCACCGCAGCTTCCAAGATCGCCTTGATCGCCGCACTCTCAGTCTCCTGCGCGAGAGTCAGAACTCGCTAGCCTCTCTTCCCCTCCCTCCAACATGTTTGGCGATGAACGCTGCAACTTTCACAATCAGGAGGTCGCGGATCGTTGGCTCCTTGTCTCCTCCCTTCATCTCAGTCAGCAGACCACCAGCCAGCAAGTAGCGCTCAGCTTACCTGCCAGCCGGCAGGCAAAGTCGCCTCCTCCTGAGCGAGGCTGACGTGGAAGGGACGAAGAAGCTCCAGGCCCACGAAGTCGTTGCCGACAGCAGACGCAAAGAGAGGGAAAAGCTCTGACTTGAGCCCCAACTCCTGCTCCCACGTCAACGTGATCCCCTCCTCCTCCTCCTCCTCCTCCTCCTCTTCCTGCACAACCATGCTGACCTGGAGGAAGCGAGAGCGCGCGAACCTCTTGGCGACCACGTGACCGGAGCGGTTGACCTCGAGCATGTCGACGGGGATGTAGCCCGCAGGGAGCTCGAGCACGTAGAAGTCGGAGTCCTTGGAGATGGCGCAGCATGTATTGGCTCGCGCAAGAGCAGCCACCACCTTGTCCGCCTCCCCGTCCACGAACGCGATCTTGACGTTGAGAGCCTGCAAGACCTCGACGAACACGTGGCGGCAGAGGATGGGAAGTGCCTTCTTGCCCCAGTACCTGTAGCTAGCGGGTGAGATACGTCACAGGCATGTCGCCTTGTCGCTCACTTCTCAGCGCTGGTCAGCTGCTTCACCGTCTTGACCAGGTCAGTCTCCCGCTGCACGACCGTCTGCTCCTTGACCTGCAGCGGAGTGAGCGTGTACTTGCACTCGCGAGGAGAGCTCGACCTCCTCGATGGTGCCATCCATGACGACGAAGAGCGAGAACCCGTTCTTCTGAAGGTTTGTGATGTAGGTCCTCGTGAACTCTGTGCGGGGGTTAACTTGAGCAGGACAAGATCAAACCTGCTCCCTCACCTGCAAACTGCCCATACTGTCCTCCACAGACACAGTTGAAGTTATTGGAGAAGTACAGGTAGTAGCTGCAAGCACATCAAACATGGCAGCTTCAACTTCGTCATTTACAGCAATGCGTAGCCATCGACAGCTAGCTTGATCGTTCTTTGCTTGCCCTCCTTGATCTCCGCCGGAGTCTGGCAAATGTCTCAACATCTTGAACCATGGAGCATACAAGCACGATGATGACAAAGACTACAAGACAAGCACGATGATGACAAAGACTCCAAGACAAGCACGGAGGAGTGAAAGGTCCCAGGTGCTTCATAAAGGATCAGACGAGGAGCGATACCAGTGGCTTCAAAACGAGAGTGTCCCAGACGGAAGGGAAACGATCCAAGAACGCTGTCAGGCCGCGAATTCCCTGGAGAAACAGAGGAATCAAGACGACATGATGAGCCCGCATGAGCTGGAGAAGCGAAGCTGGCGCTACCTCTGCCCTCTTGCATCAAGCCAGCAGGGGATCACTGCACCCTCTCGCGGAGATGCTCATTCTATCTTGATGCTAAACTACCTGTGCTAGACTATGGTCATGTACACTCGCCAATCAGTTGTGAGAGCCTCCGGCTTTCCTTCCTTGCAACGGTCGCAATGATTCACGTCGGACACCGAAAGAATGCACATGCCTAGGGTGTAGGCAAGGGAAAATGTTTCCATCAAGGAACACTTCTTCTTGCTACGAACTGATACTTCCTCCTCCTCTCCTCTTCCTCTTCCTCCTCCTCTCTGGCTCTCTCCTCCGCTTCCCCGCCTCTTACCATGATGACGTCTGCACGCGCCCTGGTCAGGGATTGATCTTACCCACCCCTGCCCAACCCCATCCAATATACCCCACCAGCGGTAAATCCCAAGTAAATCATTGAAGAGGACCCGTACTTCTTCATACCCTACCCCCTCTTTCTGCTTTTCACAGTATTTTCGGCGTCAGGACAAGCAGCGGGCCAACCCTACTTTTACTTATTACTGTGATGGGGGACGGGCCATCCCCTACCACTCAAATAGTTCTTTTTTTGGGTTAGAGGAACGAAGAGACAGCCGCCATGCCGTTCGCCGAGCTCTACAGCATGGGGAAGCCGCCATCGTTCGCGCAGGTAGGAGGAGAGCAGGACGGTCTCTTGCTGCCTTGATGTACAACAAGGGCAAGGGTTCTGATGGCACCCATGATCCTGAGCTCAATGTGTAGGGATGTGCGGATTTTTGCAATGCGATCATTTTATGACAACAGTGTTGACTTTGCATCCTCCTTTGTTTACAGCATTAATTCGCTTCTTTGTGCAAATCTTTCACATGCCTGGCTGATTCAATGATTTCTTTGCAGGTTGAGGCCAACCCTGAGAAGGCGATGAAGCAAGTGCTTGCGATGGTAACGGCATTTGCCTAACTGCAGGTTGTTGCTGACTGCAGTATCGTTGTAGACTGGCCCATCTCACAGCTACAGTGCAAGGAGTCGATGGGATAAGTCTGCATCGTGTGCCTGGAATCATGTATGTCTCTTCTTCTCTTGAGACTTTGACGATTTTAACGCGCCTTTTCTTTCAGAAAATGTGCAAGATCTAGATGATAGATTGTTATTCTTCCTGCTTTTGAATGTTCATCGATTATTCGCTTGTTCAAACAAAAATGAATTTATCTTTCCATCCTCCACCCATCAGATGTGTGGGTGCAGCAAAGTGTTGCGTAGTACAGCGAAGTGAGAAAGTAAGATCGGACTAGAACAGGGCGAGCCATCCTTGATACAGTGGCATTGTGCAGGATTCGTGCACTTCAAGTCACATCATCCGGCCGTCAAAATGTTCAGAGGCTATGCTCGGCCCTTTAGAACACTTTGTATTTGACCACCCCAAAGCTTGTACAGCCGCGGCAAGGCTGGAAAATTGAAGGCCAAGGGAGAGAGAGTAACGTGGAAGGGGCGAAGATCAGGAAGGGAGTAAGAAAATTATCATAAGCATAAGGTATATGATACTGAGCCTCTCGGCGAAACGTCATCCGGAACACTCTGATCGCAAACTGAAACCGCGCCGTGCCTCGTCGCACCTTGCAGCTAGGTCCGGCGAAGCATCGACAACAGGGCAAGCTCCATTGAGCTCCGGGCCATCGTCGAAACGACGTAGCTCGAAGTCTTCCGGAACTCCCACGTCCTTGCATGCAGCCTTTCGTGGGTCATGCTTGGCTATCAGCAGCCTGTTCAGCTCTTTCGGCGTCCTCCTCTGGTGCGAGTGGATCCTGTGAGTCGACCAGCGACAATACCTTGAAGAAGGTCTCTCGAGGAAACACTTGTATCCACACTCCAGTCTTCACCTCGGTCCATCTGCAGACCACACACTGCGGCACCGAGCTAGGTTTTTGAGCTTCTTGATTTGAAACTCATGCGACATCTCCTTTTAAAGGAGAACGATTTTCATGTTGTTGTCATTGTCATCGATTCCCATGTCGTATACTTGATATTTTTCATATTATTCACCACGTCCTGGAGCTAGAATGCTCGCACGGCCGTAGTAGCTGCTCGCCTTTTGCCTGGTCTCCCAGAAGGCGCTCTGATCTCTCTATCGGATCCTGCAAGCTACTCCTCAGGCATGGCTCCCTTCCCTACCGTACTCGATCTCCTTGCATGCCATACGCCAGTATGACTGACAACTGAGTTCAATGGGCGTCAACGAAAACTGAAATAAGCCGAGGGCCGGCCCGGCGGAGACAGCTTGCTCAGGATCTGCTCAGCGGCTTGTTGACATTGCAACACGGATTGCATTTCGGCGACGTGACTTGTACTCACGGTACTAGGCTCTCGTTCGCCCAACCCACAGTGACGTCCGGTCGTCCGGATACTTTTTTTTAGTTAACCTATTATGAAGTTTTACTCAAAGTTAAGTTAAGTTGTTGGTACAAGACCTGTACCAGGTTCACAATCTACACCTGCTCTAGTGTCCTTGCGGCCTCCGTTTGCATTACCCCTACCCGTTTTTTAAACGTCATATTCACCGGTAGTGATATATCACCGAACCCATCAAATGAGTCTTGTAACCACCGGTACTTCACAATGCGTCTTATTCCTTTCAGATTGGCGGATCCGCAAAACAATCTGAAATTAAGACTCCAAGTTACAGGTGCAGACATCACAATTATCGTCCAAATGTTGAAATTTAAAGAAGTGGTTTATCAAGACATTCATAATTTCAAACTGTACCTTCATACCTCACGCCAACCTTCGTTCCCCCTCCCCCCTTTTTGGACCCCCCATTTCAAGTACCCCACCCCCCTACTCCCCTCTTCCCCGTTCTTATTCACACCACCGCCGACTTCTCCTTGACTACCCTACCTCTGTACTTTATCCTCAGTCTTTGGACCCGTAGTCGAAGGACCTTTGACTACCCCTACCCTAAACAAAAATACCACCCGCCCCCGTCACGACCTCACCGCAACTTGCGGATCTCGACATGCAGGCGACGCGAGCGCCGCGGGCCATGGCGCATGCCAGACGCTTCTTCTCCTTGATCTCCTCCTCCTCGAGACCTCAAACCTTCGCCTCCCTGCCGGCTCAGTCCACTTTCCGTGCAGCTCGGTATCTTTCAACAAGCGAAGAAGCCCCGGAGCCACGATTCCTTGACATGGTTCAGGTAAGAGCATGCAACAGTTTGTTTTCTCTTGCCTTGTCGCGTAATGTCATCATACATCTGTTGCATCTCCTTGAGAATAAGAATAAGGCTTGTACTGCATTAGTTTCTTTCATCCTCTACGTATTCAACCGCGTTGCGTATGGTCAAATGCTTTTGCTGATCGAAATTTCCATGTTGCAGATCAACTTCAACAAAGCCGCGAAGTACACCAGCATGCACGAAAGCATGCTCAAGCAAATCCTTGCTTGCAGCTCGGTGTTGAGGGTCTCGTTCCCCATCAGGAGGGATAATGGTGAAATCGACGTGATCCGCGGTTACCGTGCTCAACACAGTCACCACCGCACTCCATGCAAGGGTGGTATCCGATATGCTCACAACGTTGACTTGCAAGAGGCATTCGCTTACTCTCTTTGCAATTATTCTTAATCAACCTCGACAGGTTGAAGCCTTGGCATCTCTTATGACGTTCAAGTGCGCAGTCGTGAATGTTCCCTTCGGAGGTGCAAAGGGTGGAATATCTATCGATCCCAAGAAATACTCTGTCATCGAACTTGAAAAAATTACCAGGTCAAAACTATGCTTGGTTTTGTTTTTCGTATTACGACAAGCACTTGTTGTCCTATGTTCTCTGTTTACCTCGCTGTCTGTCTTTCTCTTGTTCTGACCTTCCTGGACCAGACGCTATGCCGTCGAGTTGAAGAAGTATGGCTTCCTCGGACCGGGAGTGGATGTGCCTGCACCAGACGTTGGAACGGGAGCTCGGGAGATGTCTTGGATCTGTGACACCTTCTCCGTACTGTATGAGCTGCTTGCCACGTGGAGAGGCGCTAAGTTTGCCCAGATATGGCATGGAAGATGTGAACGCTTACGCCTGTGTCACTGGCAAACCAATCACCCTGGGAGGTGTCGATGGTCGTACAGAAGCGACGGGTATCTCTTCTTGATGGCGTGTCATCTTCGTGTGACCCTTGAAAGGTCTGGGAGTCTGCTATGCGACGAAATATTTCCTGAGCCTCACCGATGAGTGCAAGAGGGTTGGGGTCACCCCAGAGCTCGACGGCAAGACAGTGATCGTGCAAGGTTTTGGCAATGTTGGGTACCATGCTGCATATTTCTTCGAGGCAAGAACTTTCGATATCCCCTGTTGCAATTCGTCTGACTTCCTTCCGAACCAGAAATTTGGAGCTAAGGTCATCGGTGTTGTTGAATACAACGGAGCTGTATACAACCCTAAAGGACTTGACGTAACCAACTTTTGCTGGCGCATCCCGGAGCTGATATTGTCGGCGATGCAGATTGAGGCGCTGAAAGCTCACATGTCGACGACCGGGTCCCTCCTAGGTTTCAGCGGAGCCACCAAAGAAGTGAAAATCTCGCTCTTGGCTGAAAGGAGACCTCATTTTGGTTGCAGTACCCCAAGGAAAAGGCCTTTGAGCTGATGGAAGAAGAATGCGACCTGCTCGTTCCCGCTGCTCTGGAGAAAGCTATCAACAGGTCCAACGCTGATAAGATCAAGGCCAAGATCGTCGTGGAGGGAGCAAATGGCCCTACCACCCCGTATGCTGAAGAGCTACTCAACAAGAAGGTCCAGCACACGCCTGGCATGCTCCTTGAGTGGCTCACCTGGTAACAGGGCATCATCGTTCTCCCCGACATGCTCATGAATGCTGGTGTGCTAGTGTGTGCAAAGTCTAGTTGGTTGTGACTGCAGGGCAGGCGGAGTGTCGGTGTCCTACTTCGAATGGTTGAAGAATCTCTCGCACGTGGGGTTCGGACGCATCACACGGAGATGGGAAGAGAAGGGAAAGCAAGGGTAAAGAATGAGATGCGCTGCCTGCATCCTCGTAACGGAGGGAAAGGTTTCTGCAGGAGCTGAAAAAGGCAGGAGTTTTGATCGATGACTCTGGTCTCTCGCACGAGACCAAGTCTGGAGCTAGCGAGAAGGACCTCGTCTACTCCGGCTTGGAGGACACGATGTGCAAGGGCATGCAAGAGACTGTGGTATGCCTAGAGCTGATACTCTCTTCCAGTGAATGCATTGCAACAGGAAACGGCGAGAAAGCTGGGAGTTTCTTATCGCATTGCCGCCTTCGTCAACGCCCTGAACAAGATGGAAGGGACGTACAGGGATGCGGGCTTCACCATCTGAGCCATGCTCATCTACCAGACTCAACGGACTCCCTGGGAAACTGCGGGAACGAGCTGTGCTAGCTCCTCCTCCTCATCTCTGTTGCTGTTTCGCGTGCACTTTAGCGACGGTCGGGCACAAGGTCAGGAGACGCTCACCAGCTCCTTGAGCTTCAGGTTCGAATAAACCTCCGACGTCTTGATGATCAGTGGTATCCCTACCCCCAGCAGCGATCCCAGCACGATCCCCTGCAGCCCTGCCCCCCTGCGTCACGGCGGCTCCTCCCTCCCCCTCTCTCCTCTCCCCTCCTACCTCGCTGCCTCGCATACCCACAGTAGCTCCCGACGATCAGCCCAGAGGCCGTGGCAGGGAACACTTGACTGTAGGGCGAGCAGAGCATGGCGGGATCGACCGAGCGCGCGAGCATCCCTGCGACGCTCAGCTTGTCCTCCCCTTTGTTGCCCTTACGGATGGCCGAGATAACCTTGATGCGCTCCAGCTCGAGGAACAGCTGGAGGAACCCAAAGGACGCAGCCACTCCTCCAATGCTCGCAGCCCAGCTCGCTCCTTGCAGTGACGCCGGCACGAAGTTCGCCGGGACTCTGAGCACGGGGTCAGCGCATGGACCGGCTCTAGGGGCTACGTCACCGGAACACGGCGACGACGCCTCTGTAAACGCTATCCTTGCCGTACTTTCCGGCGAGATGCTGGTTCTCTCTCAACCCCTTCATCCACCCGTAGAGGAAGCCTGCTCAGGTATGAGAGGAGCACGGGCGGGAACGACATGCCTGCTCCTACTCCAGCCCCAATCTGAGCGCCGCATTCCTTGTATAATTCTTCATACTCTACCGGCGCCTCCCCATCCGGTGCAGCCATAGACACCGACAGTCACGCCTGCGAGCATGATCACCTCACCCTCTCGTAGCTGAGGGAGAGATCTCCTTGTCTCGTCCACCGGTTCTCCTTCCAAACTTTCTCCACATTTCTACTTTTGTCCCTACAATCCCCCTCCT